CCTGATCTTTCTGATGTTGTGCAATGCAAACCTGCAAGATCGAGCGGTCTTTGCAATGTGGTTTAAAAACATGAGATACAGTGGGTTGGGGAAAAACCGCCATAACGTCTTTAGACATGTTTTTTAAAAGTTGAACTTGCATTAATTTTACATGGCTTTCTAAACATGCCGCTCTCTGCGAGACGCGAGTGCAACGCTGATAGATGTCCCTCTAGAAAATGTGATAAATATGTGTTCTGTTTGAACGGCTTGGTTTCAGTTTTGACGTAAACAACATCTTCTCCACACTGATGCTCTCATTTTCCGCAATATATGAATGAACAACGTAGCAGCGCTGCATCTAGTGGGTTCAACTGGATAGGCTAACAAAAGCATTCAAATGCAATCAATGACACATACATCGTCATCGCATCTCGTGCGCCACTGATAAGGCTGCCTGACAGCTGACGCAGACCTTAAATTCGAATGAAACGTTTTTGCATTCGAATGTGGATTTTTTTTTTAAAACGACGAATATTCGAAATTCAAATTTTTTTTGACAGCCCTAGCGACCAGTACAATTCCTTATTTCTTCCCCATTTTGTTTCACTGGAAAAAGAAAATCAAGTTTGGAACATGAGTGCGTAAATGATTTTTGGGTAAACTACATCCTTAAAATGCAATATGATTTATTGCTCGTAATTAACAAACACACATCTCTAATCAATTAATAACCAATCAGAGAAAGGATGAATGGAATATAATTCATAAACTTTTTTTATCAGCCGTCTGCTCTGTAAAAAAAAAATATATATATATTTAGAAGTTGTAAATAAACCAAAGATTAAGTATACATTTTACAAGAAAATAATACTAAAGTTTTTCTACTTCAAAAATTTGTTTTAATTCCATGTTACATTGTAATATTTATGAAATTTACTTGCAATTTGAGTGAAAATCGTTTCAAATAAAATTCTTACCCAATTTGTTCCATTTTTTTCTGAAAAAGAATCTCAAGTGTTACTTCCCGACAAAAACTGCAACAGTGTTGCTATGTGGTTGTTAGAAATGGTTGCTAGGATGTTTGTTTACAGCCTCTCGTGAAAATGCTGCAGAAAGACGCACACACTAAACTACAAACGAGTAATCGAATTAAATCAAACAATATCCAAAAATGATGTCAACATTTGGATTTCTCATATTTCCTGACTCAATCCTGCTCAGCATCTCTTTCTCTTTTGCATTTGCATAATGCTGATCCCATCCCCCTCTCACAAACCCTCTTTCATCTCTTATTTTTGTTAAAAATGTGTGAATCACATGTCGGGTCTGGCTGATGTTTACTGCACGTCTGAAATGAAACATGTTTGTTGATTTTAGCTGTTAGTCTGAACACAAGTTCTCATGGGACCCAACTGATTTGATAAAGACTGAGCGATGGTTCCGTTTATCCAATTCAAATCATTTATTCACATTCACACATGCAAAAACGTTCAGCCAAACATGCGTTTCATTCATCTTCAGACTAATATAAACATAGCTTTAATGGAGAGTTTACAAACACTCATGCTTTACCAAAACTTAACCTGCAGCTAAGTGCACCAACTAAACTGTTTTATTAGCTTTCTGTTAGGAAGACACATCAGATAAAACACAGACGGAGTGAAAAGGAAAAGAAAAGAAGGACAAACTTCAGAGGGAAGAGTGTGAGGATGAGTTTGGGAGCGACGCCCCACATCTAAATAAATGAGCCTTAATGGCCGCCGTTTCACCGCGTAACCAACAGCAACCACTGCTGCAAGGAAAAAATGTCCAACCTTTCGCCTCTCTCGTGTGTGTGTGTGTGTGTGTGCGCGTTTGAAGAAAACAGCAAAAACAAAAGAGATGACACTCGCTAAACATCACCGTTTCTTCTAGATTTTTCTTTCTTCTCCTATCAGTGATGCTTGTCTTCTGTGCATTTGTAGTTTCTATAAATGTTCTGTAAGCGTTTGTGCTCTTAATGAAGGCGTGTGATGATCTTGAGTTCGGTTCAGTATTTAAAGACAGACTGACAGAGAGAGTTTGTGCCTATTCAGCACTGCCATCTAGAGCTCCGCTTACACAACTACACAGCACACACACACACACACACACACACACACTCGATGACCTCTGAAAATCAAGCATTCAGGGTGAAAATCCTGCACTAAATGTACTGAGAAAATTACTCTCTCATAAAACTGATTCCACAAACATTACCCTGGAAAAAGAAAACAATCTCTCTGAATTATACCAATATTATCATTAAAAACGCATCTTACAATAAGATTAATTCAGCCTTTTTTAGGAATTTTTTATTTGCGTTATTTTGGTATGATAAACCTTTTAACAGACAATCTCACGAAACCTGATAAAAACATGTCCAGGTCATATTTCCAAAAAAGGAATAAATATATAAATATAAATAAATAAGTAAGTAAGTAAGTAAGTAAAGTAAGTAAGTAAGTAAGTAAACAAACAAACAAACAAACAAACAAATAAATATATATATATATATATATATGTGTGTGTGTGTGTGTGTGTGTGTGTGTGTGTGTGTGTGTGTGTGTGTGATTTTTAGGGCAATTATAATTTATTTCATGACAATTAAGCACAAAGTTCATTACTGTAATGCAAACAAAATAATGTCTTATGTTGTAAAGTATTTATACAGTATGGCAGTATTTATTTGTTGTACTCTTGTACCTTTGTGCTGATTTAATTAAAAAAATAGCAAATATTACAATACGTTTTCAAGAAGAATTTAATTAGAAGGGAGTTACAAAAATTACAAAAAAAAAATCATAAAGACAGTAAATGCATAATTATCACAGTAACAAGAATTTGATGATACGGTGTTGTTTTTGTAAAGTAAATATAAAAAGATTACGTTTTTATTAACTGAAAGGCAAAATATGAAATGAAAGATTATTAGATTAAAAACTTAAAAATTAGAGATGTTGTCTCGGCAACTAACTAAAATTAAATGAGTTTAAGTTGAAGTACTAAAATTACTAAATTGAAATAAAAATAAAAGCTAAACAGAAAACTAAAAATACAAGCTAAACAAAACCCAATAAAATGACAAAAACATACCAAAATTACTTTAAAATAAAAAAAAAGTTATTTAAAAATATTAATAAATTGTATAATAATACTAAAACAACACTACCTTTATGCAGAACATAAATGTTTTTAAATATTTTTTTAAACAAATATGTATTAAAATATTTTTTATTGTAATTTTGCGGTGAAATATGACCTGGACATGTATTTGTGAGAAACGAATACATTTTAATCCAGCCTGGATGCATGAGAACTGTAAAGTATCATTGCTGAATTTTATTACGGTCGTGAATCACCATTAAACATAATAATTATTAGGGGTGCTCCGATCAGGGTTTTTGAGGCCGATCACCGATCACCGAAAGGAGTATCTGCCGATACCGATCACCGATACCGATCTTTTTAAAGCCTTCTTTTTTATCATTTATAACTATTTATAGTGATACTCCAATCAGGATTTTTAGACTTTTATTCAGGGCCTGAATTTCATTTTTGAAAATGGGGGGAATTCCCCTCTTAGGTGACTCTTATGAGAGGGGGAAGCAGCTTCTAGATTTATATATTAAGTTGCTCAAGCAAGTGTCAAAACATTTAAACTGCTTTC